CAGGGTGAGTGGTTGGCGGCAGGGTGAGTGGTTGGCGGCAGGGTGAGTGGTTAGCGGCAGGGTGAGTGGTTAGCGGCAGGGTGAGTGGTTGGCGGCAGGGTGAGTGGTTAGCGGCAGGGTGAGTGGTTAGTGGCAGGGTGAGTGGTTAGCGGCAGGGTGAGTGGTTGGCGGCAGGGTGAGTGGTTAGCGGCAGGGTGAGTGGTTGGCGACAGGGTGAGTGGTTGGCGGCAGGGTGAGTAGTTGGCGGCAGGGTGAGTGGTTGGCGGCAGGGTGAGTGGTTGGCGGCAGGGTGAGTGGTTAGCGGCAGGGTGAGTGGTTAGCGGCAGGGTGAGTGGTTAGCGGCAGGGTGAGTGGTTAGCGGCAGGGTGAGTGGTTAGCGGCAGGGTGAGTGGTTAGCGGCAGGGTGAGTGGTTAGCGGCAGGGTGAGTGGTTAGCGGCAGGGTGAGTGGTTGGCGGCAGGGTGAGCGGTTGGCGGCAGGGTGAGCGGTTGGCGGCAGGGTGAGCGGTTGGCGGCAGGGTGAGCGGTTGGCGGCAGGGTGAGCGGTTGGCGGCAGGGTGAGTGGTTGGCGACAGGGTGAGTGGTTGGCAGCAGGGTGAGTGGTTGGCGGCAGGGTGAGTGGTTGGCGGCAGGGTGAGTGGTTAGCGGCAGGGTGAGTGGTTAGCGGCAGGGTGAGTGGTTAGCGGCAGGGTGAGTGGTTAGCGGCAGGGTGAGTGGTTAGCGGCAGGGTGAGTGGTTGGCGGCAGGGTTGGCGGCAGGGTGAGTGGTGGCGGCAGGGTGAGTGGTTGGCGACAGGGTGAGTGGTTGGCGGCAGGGTGAGTAGTTGGCGGCAGGGTGAGTGGTTGGCGGCAGGGTGAGTGGTTGGCGGCAGGGTGAGTGGTTAGCGGCAGGGTGAGTGGTTAGCGGCAGGGTGAGTGGTTAGCGGCAGGGTGAGTGGTTAGCGGCAGGGTGAGTGGTTAGCGGCAGGGTGAGTGGTTAGCGGCAGGGTGAGTGGTTAGCGGCAGGGTGAGTGGTTAGCGGCAGGGTGAGTGGTTGGCGGCAGGGTGAGTGGTTGGCGGCAGGGTGAGCGGTTGGCGGCAGGGTGAGCGGTTGGCGGCAGGGTGAGCGGTTGGCGGCAGGGTGAGCGGTTAGCGGCAGGGTGAGTGGTTGGCGGCAGGGTGAGTGGTTGGCGGCAGGGTGAGTGGTTGGCGGCAGGGTGAGTGGTTGGCGGCAGGGTGAGTGGTTGGCGACAGGGTGAGTGGTTAGCGACAGGGTGAGTGGTTAGCGGCAGGGTGAGTGGTTAGCGGCAGGGTGAGTGGTTAGCGGCAGGGTGAGTGGTTAGCGGCAGGGTGAGTGGTTGGCGGCAGGGTGAGTGTTTAGCGGCAGGGTGAGTGGTTAGCGGCAGGGTGAGTGGTTGGCGGCAGGGTGAGTGGTTAGTGGCAGGGTGAGTGGTTAGCGGCAGGGTGAGTGGTTAGCGGCAGGGTGAGTGGTTGGCGGCAGGGTGAGTGGTTAGCGGCAGGGTGAGTGGTTAGCGGCAGGGTGAGTGGTTAGCGGCAGGGTGAGTGGTTAGCGGCAGGGTGAGTGGTTAGCGGCAGGGTGAGTGGTTAGCGGCAGGGTGAGTGGTTAGCGGCAGGGTGAGTGGTTGGCGGCAGGGTGAGTGGTTGGCGGCAGGGTGAGCGGTTGGCGGCAGGGTGAGCGGTTGGCGGCAGGGTGAGCGGTTAGCGGCAGGGTGAGTGGTTGGCGGCAGGGTGAGTGGTTGGCGGCAGGGTGAGTGGTTGGCGGCAGGGTGAGTGGTTGGCGGCAGGGTGAGTGGTTGGCGACAGGGTGAGTGGTTAGCGGCAGGGTGAGTGGTTAGCGGCAGGGTGAGTGGTTAGCGGCAGGGTGAGTGGTTAGCGGCAGGGTGAGTGGTTGGCGGCAGGGTGAGTGGTTAGCGGCAGGGTGAGTGGTTAGCGGCAGGGTGAGTGGTTGGCGGCAGGGTGAGTGGTTAGTGGCAGGGTGAGTGGTTAGCGGCAGGGTGAGTGGTTAGCGGCAGGGTGAGTGGTTGGCGGCAGGGTGAGTGGTTAGCGGCAGGGTGAGTGGTTAGCGGCAGGGTGAGTGGTTAGCGGCAGGGTGAGTGGTTAGCGGCAGGGTGAGTGGTTAGCGGCAGGGTGAGTGGTTAGCGGCAGGGTGAGTGGTTAGCGGCAGGGTGAGTGGTTGGCGGCAGGGTGAGTGGTTGGCGGCAGGGTGAGTGGTTGGCGGCAGGGTGAGCGGTTGGCGGCAGGGTGAGCGGTTGGCGGCAGGGTGAGCGGTTAGCGGCAGGGTGAGTGGTTGGCGGCAGGGTGAGTGGTTGGCGGCAGGGTGAGTGGTTGGCGGCAGGGTGAGTGGTTGGCGGCAGGGTGAGTGGTTGGCGGCAGGGTGAGTGGTTGGCGACAGGGTGAGTGGTTGGCAGCAGGGTGAGTGGTTGGCGGCAGGGTGAGTGGTTGGCGGCAGGGTGAGTGGTTAGCGGCAGGGTGAGTGGTTAGCGGCAGGGTGAGTGGTTAGCGGCAGGGTGAGTGGTTAGCGGCAGGGTGAGTGGTTAGCGGCAGGGTGAGTGGTTGGCGGCAGGGTGAGTGGTTGGCGGCAGGGTGAGTGGTTGGCGACAGGGTGAGTGGTTGGCGGCAGGGTGAGTAGTTGGCGGCAGGGTGAGTGGTTGGCGGCAGGGTGAGTGGTTGGCGGCAGGGTGAGTGGTTAGCGGCAGGGTGAGTGGTTAGCGGCAGGGTGAGTGGTTAGCGGCAGGGTGAGTGGTTAGCGGCAGGGTGAGTGGTTAGCGGCAGGGTGAGTGGTTAGCGGCAGGGTGAGTGGTTAGCGGCAGGGTGAGTGGTTAGCGGCAGGGTGAGTGGTTAGCGGCAGGGTGAGTGGTTGGCGGCAGGGTGAGCGGTTGGCGGCAGGGTGAGCGGTTGGCGGCAGGGTGAGCGGTTGGCGGCAGGGTGAGCGGTTAGCGGCAGGGTGAGTGGTTGGCGGCAGGGTGAGTGGTTGGCGGCAGGGTGAGTGGTTGGCGGCAGGGTGAGTGGTTGGCGGCAGGGTGAGTGGTTGGCGGCAGGGTGAGTGGTTGGCGGCAGGGTGAGTGGTTAGCGGCAGGGTGAGTGGTTAGCGGCAGGGTGAGTGGTTAGCGGCAGGGTGAGTGGTTGGCGGCAGGGTGAGTGGTTGGCGGCAGGGTGAGTGGTTAGCGGCAGGGTGAGTGGTTAGCGGCAGGGTGAGTGGTTAGCGGCAGGGTGAGTGGTTGGCGGCAGGGTGAGTGGTTAGCGGCAGGGTGAGTGGTTGGCGGCAGGGTGAGTGGTTGGCGGCAGGGTGAGTGGTTAGGGGCAGGGTGAGTGGTTAGCGGCAGGGTGAGTGGTTAGCGGCAGGGTGAGTGGTTAGCGGCAGGGTGAGTGGTTAGCGGCAGGGTGAGTGGTTAGCGGCAGGGTGAGTGGTTAGCGGCAGGGTGAGTGGTTAGCGGCAGGGTGAGTGGTTAGCGGCAGGGTGAGTGGTTGGCGGCAGGGTGAGTGGTTAGCGGCAGGGTGAGTGGTTAGCGGCAGGGTGAGTGGTTAGCGGCAGGGTGAGTGGTTAGCGGCAGGGTGAGTGGTTAGCGGCAGGGTGAGTGGTTAGCGGCAGGGTGAGTGGTTAGCGGCAGGGTGAGTGGTTAGCGGCAGGGTGAGTGGTTGGCGGCAGGGTGAGTGGTTAGCGGCAGGGTGAGTGGTTAGCGGCAGGGTGAGTGGTTAGCGGCAGGGTGAGTGGTTAGCGGCAGGGTGAGTGGTTGGCGGCAGGGTGAGTGGTTAGTGGCAGGGTGAGTGGTTAGCGGCAGGGTGAGTGGTTAGCGGCAGGGTGAGTGGTTGGCGGCAGGGTGAGTGGTTAGCGGCAGGGTGAGTGGTTAGCGGCAGGGTGAGTGGTTGGCGGCAGGGTGAGTGGTTAGTGGCAGGGTGAGTGGTTAGCGGCAGGGTGAGTGGTTAGCGGCAGGGTGAGTGGTTGGCGGCAGGGTGAGTGGTTGGCGGCAGGGTGAGTGGTTAGCGGCAGGGTGAGTGGTTAGCGGCAGGGTGAGTGGTTGGCGGCAGGGTGAGTGGTTAGTGGCAGGGTGAGTGGTTAGCGGCAGGGTGAGTGGTTAGCGGCAGGGTGAGTCGTTGGCGGCAGGGTGAGTGGTTAGCGGCAGGGTGAGTGGTTAGCGGCAGGGTGAGTGGTTAGCGGCAGGGTGAGTGGTTAGCGGCAGGGTGAGTGGTTGGCGGCAGGGTGAGTGGTTAGTGGCAGGGTGAGTGGTTAGCGGCAGGGTGAGTGGTTAGCGGCAGGGTGAGTGGTTAGCGGCAGGGTGAGTGGTTAGCGGCAGGGTGAGTGGTTGGCGGCAGGGTGAGTGGTTAGCGGCAGGGTGAGTGGTTAGCGGCAGGGTGAGTGGTTAGCGGCAGGGTGAGTGGTTAGCGGCAGGGTGAGTGGTTGGCGGCAGGGTGAGTGGTTAGTGGCAGGGTGAGTGGTTAGCGGCAGGGTGAGTGGTTAGCGGCAGGGTGAGTGGTTGGCGGCAGGGTGAGTGGTTAGCGGCAGGGTGAGTGGTTAGCGGCAGGGTGAGTGGTTGGCGGCAGGGTGAGTGGTTAGTGGCAGGGTGAGTGGTTAGCGGCAGGGTGAGTGGTTAGCGGCAGGGTGAGTGGTTGGCGGCAGGGTGAGTGGTTAGCGGCAGGGTGAGTGGTTAGCGGCAGGGTGAGTGGTTGGCGGCAGGGTGAGTGGTTAGTGGCAGGGTGAGTGGTTAGCGGCAGGGTGAGTGGTTAGCGGCAGGGTGAGTGGTTAGCGGCAGGGTGAGTGGTTAGCGGCAGGGTGAGTGGTTGGCGGCAGGGTGAGTGGTTAGTGGCAGGGTGAGTGGTTAGCGGCAGGGTGAGTGGTTAGCGGCAGGGTGAGTGGTTGGCGGCAGGGTGAGTGGTTAGCGGCAGGGTGAGTGGTTAGCGGCAGGGTGAGTGGTTAGCGGCAGGTCAGGCGCTATCCCCAGCTGGCCATGTGCCCAGCTACTATGATATGATGTTTTCATGCGACACTTCCATGTGCCCCATGCCCAATGCACATGTTCGGTTGCTCGCATGAAGGTGGGCATGCCTTGGCCACAAACGACAGGCATACCAACCTGTAGGACCCCTCACCCTCTCTCCTTCTCTCCGCCTCTCCGTCTTTCGTTTCGCTCCGTTGCTCAATCTCCCCATCCCTCCATCTCTCCGTTTCTCCGTGTTCGTGTTCCTCCCTACCAGGGGAACGCCATCCCGCTCAACAGCTTCCACAGCAGGTGACGCATCGTACCATGCCATGCTGCCATGCGCTGTTACCATGCGCTGTTACCATGCACTGTTACCATGCGCTGTTACCATGCGCTGTTACCATGCACGGTTACCACGTACTGTTACAGCATCTGCATTTGCCACATTTCTGATACCATCTACACTCACTTTCGCACATCCACCACCCTCACTCATCCCTCCTCCATGCGTTGTTACTTTCATGATTGTAGCAACATCCTGCATACCACACACGTCCTGCTCGCTCCCCCCTTGCTCCACATCTTGGTCCAATATCTTCCTTCCCCTTCCGTCCGTGTGCACTTCCCATTCTTCTCTTTATCCCTCTCTACTCTTCTTCACTCCTCTCCAACCATCTCCACTCCTCTACACTCCACTCCGCCCATCTTCGCGCCTCTCCAATCCCCGCCCCGCTCCACTCTCCCCCTCTCCGTTTCCCCACCCCATCTCACCCGCCAGTCACGTCACGCCACGTGTTCTCCCCAGGCACTGCCACCAACTCGCGGGCCCTGGGCCCCTCCCTTGCGTCTGCTGAGAAGCGCACCTTGCACGGCCGGTCAGGGCTTGCAGGGGAGCGGGAGAGGGACAGGGAGCGGGAGCGGGAGAAGGAGAAGGAGAAGGAGAAAGAGAAGGAGAAGGGGAGCGGTAGTGGGGAGAAAGGAGGAGCAGGAGGAGGGGGAGGGGGAGGGGTAAGGGGAGCAGCAGCTGGTGTGGTGCGGGCGTTGGATTTCAAAGGAGCAGCAGAGGAGCAGGTATGGTGAGGTACAAAGGGTGGTGCAGTCTGAGGCCGTAACCTGACTTGAGCCAGTTCAAACCTTGACTGAGCCACTTGCAACCCTGACCCGAGCAGATGAAACCCTGACTTGAGCAACTTGAAACTCTAACCGAGTGAGTTGAAACTGGACAAGTTTCCCGAGGCCATGCAATGCCAGGTTGCTCGTTCCTGCAGCCTTGCACCTCCGGACCTTCCCCTTATTCCCCTGTAGGTGCGCCCCCCCTCGCCCCGCACCCATGGCGCTGTGTGCGCCCATAGCCCATAGCGCTGTGATAGGTAGAGTGTAGAATCTCATGGCAGGGCAGTGGTGATTTCTGAGGCGCCCTAGAAATGAATCTGACGAGTTGTGTTGTGTCCCATGGCGACGCAAGGATGGCGAGCTGATTGTGACAATGATCTCGCATCAGGGCCCTTTCCTCCCCTCTCTCCTCTCTCCTCTCTCCTCTCTCTCGTCTCTCTTCTTCTCTCCCCTCTCTCCTTCTCTCTCTTCTCCCTCTCCTCTCCCCTCTCTCCTCCTCTCTCCTCTCCTCTCCCCTCTCTTCACTCCTTCCTCCGCCCCTTCCCCACTTCGCTCGTTTCTCCCTGCCTGCCTTGTCCTCTCCAGTTCCCTTCCCCCATTTCTGCCCCCCATCTCCTTCAACTCCACTCGTCCTCCCCCCATCTCTCTCCCCGCCTAATCCCCTCCCAAACGAACAGCCGGAGCACACTGATAATAGTGGCGCAATCACAGTGGCGGGCGGAGTAGGGGGAGCAGGAAGAGGGGGAGGGGCGGAGGAGGGGGCAGGCGGAAAGGAAAACTCAATGGATGGCAGTGGGAGTGACACTGACGATGATGGTGCGTGTGGGTGGGTGCGAGGTTGAGATGTCTTTTTTCTGAGGCGTCTATTAGGTGACGATACTGATGATGATGGTGCGTGTGGTGGGAGAGGGAAATTGAGGCGTGTATTTGTGGGTTGTCTCACCACCTCCGCTACACCTGCACACGGGATTGTTTGAGTAGAAAAGGGGGAATGCAGAGAAGGTGGTGGAGAGAAGGGATGGGGGAGAGGGGTGTGGAAAGAGAGGGGTGGTCGGTCACCGTCAGTCACCGTCAGACACCGTCAGTCAATGTCAGTCACCGTCAGTCACCGTCAGTCATTATCAGTTGCCGTCAGTCACTGTCAGTAACCGTCAGTCACTGTCAGTCACCGTCAGTCACCATCAGTCACTCTTCCTAGCACACGTGGTGTCAGTCACATTGCCAACACACAACCACCCTCTGCTTCCTCTCCCCACCTCCCTTCGCACTCCACCCACCAGCATCGCCCTAAGCATGCACCCCAGTGTCCGTCCCCCCACTTGCACTCATTTCCTTGAGTCAACATTCTCTCGTTGGCCCAACCGAATCAACTCTTCCTCTTTCTTCTTCGCTCCCTGTCGCCCACCCTTTCACCCTGCTTCTACAGCCTGCTCTGGCCCTGCGCCCTCCCCCCATGCATCCGCGTCCCCTGCCCCCACTCCGCCTCCTTTGACGCGACTGGCCAGCAGCAAGAGCAGGGGCGCGGGGGGAGTGGGAGGAGGAGATGAGGAGGGCGGAGGGGCAGCGCATGCAGCAGGGGGAGGGGGAGGGGCAGGGGGAGCAGCAGCGTCGCCCCTAAAGGGACCGGGGGGAGGGAAGGCGGATAGTACTGGACTGGTGAGCGAAGGAAGTATGCTGGGGGGTGCTGGGGAGACGCTGGGGGGACCTTGTGGGGACGTTGGGGGGATGCTAGGGGTTGGTGGGAAGTGATGGTAGGCGGATGATGGGAGGAAGGTCCTTGTGCTTTTTCCGTTTACTGTGGGGAGAGGGGAAGGGGGGGAAAGAGGGAGGTATGTGTGTGTGTATGTGTGTTGCTGGGTCATGGATCTAGGAAGGGGTTTAGTGTGGTGGAGGTTGAAGAGAATGCTGTGGAATGGGATGCGGAGAGGGATGGTATGTGCATGCCACGTGGCATTGCGAGCGAAACATGTCATCTTAGGGTGTGCAGTGCAATGCCATGCCATGTGTTGCATTGTATTGCCATGTTAAACCTTCTAGTACCATCCCATCCAACTTATCCGTCCCATCCAGCTTTCCAACCCATGCACTCCCACTCCATTTCTTCGTGTTCCATTCCTAGAACACGTAAGCACCTGCCTGAACCACCCTCCCAACCACCACCTCCTCACAACACTTCCCTCTTTCACCCCTTCCTATACCTACTCTCGCTTCCCTCTCCATCCTCGCTGCCCGATGTGCTGCCTGCTCCATGTGTCATGTCACCTGCGCGTTGCCCCCACCAGGTGCCTCAAGCGCTCAAACTGAAGCCCACCAAGGTTAGTCCTGCCACGCGCCACACAGCACCCACACCCGCTATGCCACATGAACTCATGCCCCATTGTCTCATGCCCCATGCACTCATGCCCCATTGTCTCATGCCCCATGCACTCATGCCCCATTGTCTCATGCCCCATGCACTCATGCCCCATTGTCTCATGCCCCATGCACTCATGCCCCATTGTCTCATGCCCCATGCACTCATGCCCCATTGTCTCATGCCCCATGCACTCATGCCCCATTGTCTCATGCCCCATGCACTCATGCCCCATTGTCTCATGCCCCATGCACTCATGCCCCATTGTCTCATGCCCCATGCACTCATGCCCCATTGTCTCATGCCCCATGCACTCATGCCCCATTGTCTCATGCCCCATGCACTCATGCCCCATTGTCTCATGCCCCATGCACTCATGCCCCATGCACTCATGCCCCATTGTCTCATGCCCCATGCACTCATGCCCCATGCACTCATGCCCCATGCACTCATGCCCCATTGTCTCATGCCCCATGCACTCATGCCCCATGCAACTCACTATAACACCCCTCACTCTTCTCACATTTCCCCGTCCCCCCTTCTCCCCATCTCGCTCTCTCCCCTTCTACCCCTCTCCCCCTCGCCCCCTCTCCTTCTCCCTCTCGCCCCATGGCAGTGGACGCTCACGAGTCTGGGCAGAGACCCCAAGGCGGACCTAGACGCCTTCAAAAAGAGGGTGCGCGCTGCCAGGGGCAGGGGGGTGACTGGGGGAGGGCTGGGGGGAAGGGCGGGGGGAGGTACCGGGGGAGGGATGGCGGGGGGGAGGGACGGGAGGAGGCACTGGGGAGGGATGATAGGAGGGATGGGGGAGGGTGGCGGGACGGTCGGTGCGAGAAAAAGGGGGAATAGCTGGGGGAAGGGAGGGTTGAGGGAACCTGAGGTAAGAGGCTTGGTGGGGGGAGGAAGAAAGTGTGTCACGGTGCTCGCAGTGCCGTTGCTGACAGTACTGGTGGATGCTCAGGCCATGCACCTTGAACGCACCTGCATGCTACTACCGCGTGCCATGCCATGCCATGCCATGCCATGCCATTCATGCAACAGCTGCTATGTTGTGCGTTAGAAGGCACTAGGGCAATTTATCAGGCAATGCACTGTGATAATTCATACGGCACTATGATACGTTAGTCTATAGTGTCTGTATGTATTATCATATGCCGTGGCGCATGTTGGGTTCCCGAAGCTATCTCGTTCCCATCGCACTCACTCGCTTCCTCCTCACCCTCTCATCACCGCCCTGCTCTCCATCCCTTGCACACTCTCCCTTTCGCTCCCCCACTGCGCTCTCCTCTTCTTTCCCCCTTGCCATTCCCCCGTGCCTCACTCTCTCTCTCTCTGCGCCCCCATGCACCACGGCAGTCGGAGATGGCAGAGCGCAACCTCAAGCTCGCCACAGCTGCCCTCACACGATCCGAAGCCCTCTTTGCGGTATGGAGTGCCATGCCGTGCCATGCCATACCATGCCGTGCCGTGCAGTACAATGCCGTGCTGTGTCGTGCCATGCCATGCCGTGCCATGCCATGCCGTGCCATGCCGTGCCGTGCCATGCCATGCCATGTCATTCCGTGCCATGCAGTTGTTTTGCTGTGTGCCCTAGGCCCATCCCATCATCCTGTCCTCCCATTCTCCCCACCTTATGTGGGGATTCTACTGTTGGATGTGTGTGTGCGTGCATGGGTGCATGGATTCTACCGTTGAATGCGCACGTGCGCATGCATGCATGGTTGGATGTGCGCATGTGTGTATGGGTGCATGGGTGCATGTGTGCATGTGTGCATGTGTGCATGGGTGTAAGGGTGTAAGGGTGCATGGGTGCATGGGTGCATGGGTGCATTGGTGCATGCGTGCGTGGGTGCATGGTGCGTGTGTGCATGTGTGCGTGGTGTATGCGTGCATGCATGTGTTCATGCGTCCATGTGCATGCGAGCAGGAGCGGAACAAGGAGATGGAGGAGGTACAGGAGAGGATGGGAGCCAAGGAAAGGGAAATTGGATCTCTTAATGACACTGTAGACGGGCTTAGAAGGTGAGAAAGGAAAAGGGATGGTAGAGGCAGGGAAGGGGACGGTCAGAACACAAACATATGAGAGGTGCAGGACTTGTGTTTCCCTTTCCACCTCCATGTAACCACCTCTTCCAATTCTTCCCATGCTCGCTGTGGAAGGCTGGCTGTGTACTTCCTGTTCATCCCTGCTTGCTTCTCCCCCTCGTTCCTCACCTCTTCCATGCTTGTTCCATTCTTCATTCACCCCCTTCCATCCCCCTTCCACACCCTTCCCATCCCCCTTCCGCGCCGCTTCAACCGCTCTTTCTCCTCCCTTCCAATCCCCCCTTCCATCCTCCTCCTGCCTCCCCTCATCTGCCTCCTGGCCCCCTTCCATTCCCTCCACCCCTGTTCCTCCCTGCAGCGACATAGCCGGATTACAGTCGGATCTAGCAGCCGCTACTGCCGATGCTGCAGCTGCAAAGGCATCCACTCAACGAGCGCGAGCAGAGACAGAGCGAGTGAGGGGGGTGCTTGCAGGTGTCACTGAGGAGAAGGAAGGCGTTGAGAGGGATTTAAAGGCCACTCAGGAGGAAGGGACGAGGCTGAGAGAGAAGATTCTAGGGCTTGAGAAGGAGAGGAAGGAACTGGAGGGGGAGTTGGGGAGAGTGGGGAGGTTGATGGAGAAAAGGATGAAAGAGGCGGGGGAGAGGGAGGAGAAGTTGACGGGGGAGAGGGAGGCGTGGAAGGGGAAGGCGGAAGGGTTGGAGCTGGAGAGGAAGCGTTTGGAAGGGGAACTGAGAGGGGCTGTAAGGGAGAGGGATGTGTTAAGGCGAGGGGTGGAAGGAGCATTGGGGATTTCGCGGAGGGTGGAGGTGGAGGGTGAAGGGGGAGGTGAAGGAGAGACGGGGAGTGGTGATCAGGGGATTGGAGGGATGAAGGTGGAGGGTGTGGTAGGGGTGTTAGAGGGGAGAGTGGGGGTTTTGGTGGGGGAGATAGAGAGTGAAAGGGGGGAGAGGAGGAGAGAGATGGAGGAAGGGAAGGAGAGGGAGGAGAGGCTGAAGAGTCTGCTGCAGAAGGCGAGAATGAACTGGGAAAGGCTTGAGGGAGAGTTAAAGAGTGAGAAGCAGGAGAGGCAGAGGGAGAGGGAAGAAGGAGAGAGGAGGGAAGAGGGATTGAAGGGAGAATTGCAGACGGAGAAACAGGAGAGGCAGAGGGAGAGGGACGAAGGCGAGAGGAGGGAAGAGGGATTGAAGGGACAATTGCAGCTGGAGAAACAGGAGAGGCAGAGGGAGAGGGAGGAAGGCGAGAGGAGGGAAGAGGGACTGAAGGGAGAATTGCAGCTGGAGAAGCAGGAGAGGCAGAGGGAGAAGGAGGAAGGCGAGAGGAGGGAGGAGGAATTGAAGGGAGAATTGCAGATGGAGAAACAGGAGAGGCAGAGGGAGCGGGAGGAAGGCGAGAGGAGGGCAGAGGGATTGAAGGGAGAACTGCAGCAGGAGAAGCAGCAAAGGCAGAGGGAGAGGGAGGAAGGCGAGAGGAGGGAAGAGGGATTGAAGGGAGAATTGAAATTGGAGAAGCAGGAGAGGCAGAGGGAGAGGGAGGAAGGCGAGAGGAGGGAAGAGGGATTGAAGGGAGAATTGCAGCTGGAGAAGCAGGAGAGGCAGAGGGAGAGGGAGGAAGGCGAGAGGAGGGAAGAGGGATTGAAGGGAGAATTGCACCTGGAGAAACAGGAAAGGCAGAGGGAAAGGGAGGAAGGCGAGAGGAGGGAAGAGGGATTGAAGGGAGAATTGCAGCTGGAGAAACAGGAGAGGCAGAGGGAGAGGGAGGAAGGCGAGAGGAGGGAAGAGGGATTGAAGGGAAAATTGCAGCTGGAGAAACAGGAAAGGCAGAGGGAAAGGGAGGAAGGCGAGTGGAGGGAAGAGGGATTGAAGGGAGAATTGCACCTGGAGAAACAGGAAAGGCAGAGGGAAAGGGAGGAAGGGGAGAGGAGGGAAGAGGGATTGAAGGGAGAATTGCAGACAGAGAAACAGGAGAGGCAGAGGGAGAGGGAGGAAGGCGAGAGGAGGGAAGAGGGATTGAAAGAAGAACTGCAGCTGGAGAAACAGGAAAGGCAGAGGGAAAGGGAGGAAGGCGAGAGGAGGGAAGAGGGATTGAAGGGAGAATTGCACCTGGAGAAACAGGAAAGGCAGAGGGAAAGGGAGGAAGGGGAGAGGAGGGAAGAGGGATTGAAGGGAGAATTGCAGCTGGAGAAACAGGAAAGGCAGAGGGAAAGGGAGGAAGGCGAGTGGAGGGAAGAGGGATTGAAGGGAGAATTGCACCTGGAGAAACAGGAAAGGCAGAGGGAAAGGGAGGAAGGGGAGAGGAGGGAAGAGGGATTGAAGGGAGAATTGCAGACAGAGAAACAGGAGAGGCAGAGGGAGAGGGAGGAAGGCGAGAGGAGGGAAGAGGGATTGAAAGGAGAACTGCAGCTGGAGAAACAGGAAAGGCAGAGGGAAAGGGAGGAAGGCGAGAGGAGGGAAGAGGGATTGAAGGGAGAATTGCAGCTGGAGAAACAGGAAAGGCAGAGGGAAAGGGAGGAAGGGGAGAGGAGGGAAGAGGGATTGAAGGGAGAATTGCAGCTGGAGAAACAGGAAAGGCAGAGGGAAAGGGAGGAAGGCGAGAGGAGGGAAGAGGGATTGAAGGGAGAATTGCAGACGGAGAAACAGGAAAGGCAGAGGGAGAGGGAGGAAGGCGAGAGGAGGGAAGAGGGATTGAGGGGAGAATTGCAGCTGGAGAAACAGGAAAGGCAGAGGGAAAGGGAGGAAGGGGAGAGGAGGGAAGAGGGATTGAAGGGAGAATTGCAGACGGAGAAACAGGAAAGGCAGAGGGAAAGGGAAGAAGGCGAGAGGAGGGAAGAGGGATTGAAGGGAGAATTGCAGATGGAGAAACAGGAAAGACAGAGGGAAGGGGAGGAAGGCGAGAGGAGGGAAGAGGGATTGAAGGGAGAATTGCAGCTGGAGAAACAGGAGAGGCAGAGGGAGAGGGAGGAAGGCGAGAGGAGGGAAGAGGGATTGAAGGGAAAATTGCAGCTGGAGAAACAGGAAAGGCAGAGGGAAAGGGAGGAAGGCGAGTGGAGGGAAGAGGGATTGAAGGGAGAATTGCACCTGGAGAAACAGGAAAGGCAGAGGGAAAGGGAGGAAGGGGAGAGGAGGGAAGAGGGATTGAAGGGAGAATTGCAGACAGAGAAACAGGAGAGGCAGAGGGAGAGGGAGGAAGGCGAGAGGAGGGAAGAGGGATTGAAAGAAGAACTGCAGCTGGAGAAACAGGAAAGGCAGAGGGAAAGGGAGGAAGGCGAGAGGAGGGAAGAGGGATTGAAGGGAGAATTGCACCTGGAGAAACAGGAAAGGCAGAGGGAAAGGGAGGAAGGGGAGAGGAGGGAAGAGGGATTGAAGGGAGAATTGCAGCTGGAGAAACAGGAAAGGCAGAGGGAAAGGGAGGAAGGCGAGTGGAGGGAAGAGGGATTGAAGGGAGAATTGCACCTGGAGAAACAGGAAAGGCAGAGGGAAAGGGAGGAAGGGGAGAGGAGGGAAGAGGGATTGAAGGGAGAATTGCAGACAGAGAAACAGGAGAGGCAGAGGGAGAGGGAGGAAGGCGAGAGGAGGGAAGAGGGATTGAAAGGAGAACTGCAGCTGGAGAAACAGGAAAGGCAGAGGGAAAGGGAGGAAGGCGAGAGGAGGGAAGAGGGATTGAAGGGAGAATTGCACCTGGAGAAACAGGAAAGGCAGAGGGAAAGGGAGGAAGGGGAGAGGAGGGAAGAGGGATTGAAGGGAGAATTGCAGCTGGAGAAACAGGAAAGGCAGAGGGAAAGGGAGGAAGGCGAGAGGAGGGAAGAGGGATTGAAGGGAGAATTGCAGACGGAGAAACAGGAAAGGCAGAGGGAGAGGGAGGAAGGCGAGAGGAGGGAAGAGGGATTGAGGGGAGAATTGCAGCTGGAGAAACAGGAAAGGCAGAGGGAAAGGGAGGAAGGGGAGAGGAGGGAAGAGGGATTGAAGGGAGAATTGCAGACGGAGAAACAGGAAAGGCAGAGGGAAAGGGAAGAAGGCGAGAGGAGGGAAGAGGGATTGAAGGGAGAATTGCAGATGGAGAAACAGGAAAGACAGAGGGAAGGGGAGGAAGGCGAGAGGAGGGAAAAGGGATTGAAGGGAGAATTGCAGCTGGAGAAACAGGAAAGGCAGAGGGAAAGGGAGGAAGGCGAAAGGAAGGAAGAGGGGTTGAAGGGAGAATTGCAGACGGAGAAACAGGAAAGGCAGAGGGAGAGGGAGGAAGGCGAGAGGAGGGAAGAGGGATTGAGGGGAGAATTGCAGCTGGAGAAGCAGGAAAGGCAGAGGGAAAAGGAGGAAGGTGAGAGGAGGGAAGAGGGATTGAAGGGAGAATTGCAGACGGAGAAACAAGAGAGGCAGAGGGAGAGGGAGGAAGGCGAGAGGAGGGAAGAGGGATTGAAGGGAGAAATGCAGCTGGAGAAACAGGAAAGGCAGAGGGAAAGGGAGGAAGGCGAGAGGAGGGAAGAGGGATTGAAGGGAGAATTGCAGACGGAGAAACAGGAGAGGCAGAGGGAGAGGGAGGAAGGCGAGAGGAGGGAAGAGGGATTGAAGGGAAAATTGGAGCTGGAGAAACAGGAAAGGCAGAGGGAAAGGGAGGAAGGCGAGAGGAGGGAAGAGGGATTGAAGGGAGAATTGCAGCTGGAGAAACAGGAAAGGCAGAGGGAAAGGGAGGAAGGCGAGAGGAGGGAAGAGGGATTGAGGGGAGAATTGCAGCTGGAGAAGCAGGAAAGGCAGAGGGAAAAGGAGGAAGGCGAGAGGAGGGAAGAGGGATTGAAGGGAGAATTGCAGACGGAGAAACAAGAGAGGCAGGGCGAGAGGGAAGAAGGCAAGAGGAGGGAAGAGGGATTGAATGGAGAATTTCAGATGGAGAAGCAGGAGAGGCAGAGGGAGAGGGGGGAAGGCGAGAGGAGGGAAGAGGGATTGAAGGGAGAATTGCAGACGGAGAAGCAGGAGAGGCAGAGGGAGAGGGAGGAAGGCGAGGCGAGGGAGGAGCAGCTGAAAGAGCAGCTGGATTTCGAGAGAAGGGAGAGGAAGAGGGAGCGGAAGGAGGGCGAGGAGGGGGATGGGAGGTTGAGAGGAGAGCTGAGGGAAGCGAGGGAGGATGTTGAGAGGCTTGAAGAAGAGCTTCAGTGGGAGAGGGAAGGGCGGGCGAGGGAGGGCAGGGAGGGCGCAGCAAGGGAGGAGGTGTTGAATGGTGAATTGGAGGAAGCTAGGGCGCTTGGATTGCAAGTTCAGGGGGAGTTGGAGAGAGAAAGGGTGGAGAGGAGGAGGGAGAGGGACGAGGGTGCAGGGAGGGAAGAAGTGCTAAGACAGCAGCTACAGCAGTCTTTGGCTGTGGGGGAGGGGTTGGAT